GTCTTGAGCCTCAGGACAACTCTGATGAATCTTTGTGTGCACCTCCTGGAAAATCATCACTAATGCAACACAGGAGTTGCTAGATGCCTTGCTCCTGTCAGGCTGCTTACATGGCTTCAACATGTTTACGTCGCTCTCGCATCTATTATGCCTCGTTTGGAAGTCGCTCTGGAGCATTTTTAAAAAGCCTGTGCCACACTTCCGCCCAATATGAAAGTCCACGTGGAGATTATTTTGCTGCTTGAGTGCTTGATGAGGAGCAAAAGGAAGCATCGTGGGAATCGGAGTTTCGACTCTCCGGGAAGGTAATTTGATGTCTTCTTTTAAGACGACTTGACATCAGATGCACTTTAAGATTTTAAAAAAAGGGCGGGGCGTTCAAACGGAGAACTCCTCTGTGGCTGCAAACTGCGAAACGTTAACAGCGTGGGATGAATTTCCAAAACTGAAGAAGGGGCGAGTCAATTTCACAACAATTTCAGAACAACGAAAAATGAAGCCACAAAATTTCAGGATGCTGAAGATTTAAACATAAAAATGAAAAGGAACATTTTAAAAAGCCTTACGTTTTAGAAGAGAATTTTATATTTTATAAACAGCAAAACTGAATTTAAACATTTAAAAGGTTACACAAATTTAACTGTTTAAAGTTTATTTTATCCTTTGCTGGACATTATAAAAGATAGTGTTTTTTAATCAAAACACCATATAACCATTACAATATTTTAAAAATATATGTCAGAATTGCACATTTCTTGTTCAAGTCAATATAATGTGAACTTCCTTTTGTAGGAGCTACATTATCCCCCGTTCTCACTTCATTTTTTTACCTAAAAGTTTTGTCAAAACTAAGCAAGTAAACTTTCACCTGAGTGCTACATAAGATTATACCAGCAACTGCAGAGGGCTCGTGATCAGCAGTTATGAAAGTCAAAAAAAAAAAAAACTCTTGACACAAACAGCAGAGCTTCAATCACGTGCCGAAACCAGGGGAAGAATTACTCAACATGGAAAGTCTGGAAATTACAACACACTCACTGCAACAAGCTGACTGCAGAGCTCACAGGCTGACTAAGGCAAAGGGGGATCTCGAAAGCTGCGTGGCGTGCTTGTGTTCAGTTTGTTCGAACTCAAAGAAGCTGTTCAGATTTGTTTTTTACAGATTTGTCATGAATCCCTTTCAGGTGGTTTGACTGCGAGTGGTCACCTCTGACACCCACCTCGTAAATTATGCTCCTCAAATTGATTTGTCGATTGGATATAAATTACCTGCGCTGTATGCAGAAACACACACAGCCTCATCACACAGAGAGCTGCCAGTGAGCAACAACTATTTTATGATTTCGACATATAGAGGTTTAAAAGTCACATTTGCGTACTTCTCTCTTGATTAGATCAAATACCTAACAGCTGCTATGTTAGAGAAATAAAGGCACATACAATATAAAGTGATTTGTGACTTCTCAGAACTCTGTGTCAAAACCGAGAAGAGTTTATCCTGGAAAAATCCACTGCTTTACAGTGAATTTAAGATCCGCTCTGTGTTTAATTGGGTGCATATACTGTATAAGCAACTAACACTGCTTAAACTGTTGTCCTTTGGATGACACAACACATGCTGTGACCAAGGTGGGTCCAAAAACAATCAGAACAAACATGAAACCAATGAGAAACATCCAGTAATTCTTAACCTATGGGCCTGAGGGCCTCAAAAGAACAACAGTTTTTAACTTGGGGCCGCAGAGGGCCGTGGGACCATGGTGCAATACACTTTTTCACCACTAGTAGCAGTAGTGCACCACTCAGATGTTTAACAACTTTTTTAATATGTAGAAGAAGAACCTTAGAAACCTGCCAGGAATGGAAACTAAATGAAAAGTAGAAGCAAAAATGAAAGTAACTCATCAAAACAAGCCAAAGTTTGTCACTAATATGAAGTACAGCTTCTGTTTTTACTATGCAATATTTTAAAAGTTCAAAACATTATCAAATACAGTTGCAGCTATATTTTAATTTGCACGTTGAATAAATTTTAGTAGTTTATTTTTAAACATTTTGAATGTATTTTAAAGAAACTTTAAACTTGTCAAAAAACTGTTGTTACTGTTATTGTTTGTCACTAATATGAAGAGCAGCTTCTGGTCGCAAAAGTTT